TTAAAAATCAGCTGATAAACTATCTCATTATAAGATATATTTATAGTTGTACCAAAACATTTAGTCATATCACAGAATTGTATTTTATGTTATTTTCGCTTGGGGGGAGTCCACACAGTTGTCATGGTATCATAGTGGTTTTCAGTAGAAAAAGTTCAAATCTACAGAAAAAAAAAAGTTTTACATTTTAGTTTTTTGGGGGGAAACTATATAAAATGCTGCAAATGACAACATCAGCAAAATGATTATTTAACCCTCCACCAGGTGTCCCTGTGTTTTACCTGTGTCACAGGCTGAGTGGAGGGTTGTTGGTTGATTGAGCCACACCTGGAACAAGTGCGTCAACCATACAAAGCCTCCCTCATTCCCTCATTCTTTCTCTTGCTTACTCTCAAACAGGTTCTCTGACAGGAGCTCTTTCTGGCAGGAGCTGCCTGTCTCCAGGAACACCAGCAGCATGAAAGATCCCGATGCCCCCACCGGGACCTTCTTTCTGCAAGGCAACACTGCTACCAACTGCGCCACCTTGCAGCCCCCCAAAAACATGCTGAGTTGAGCTGGTGATCTAAATTGTCCGTAGGTGTGAATGTGCTTGGTTGTCTCTCTGTGTAGCCCTGTGATTGACTGCTGACCTGTCCAGGGTGTCTCTTGCCTTTGCCCTGAGTCAGCTGGGATAGACTACAGCAACCCCAGTGAGGATTAAGCAGTGTATAGATAAAGGATGGACATGCAAAAAGGGATGAAAGTACTTGTTTAAAGAATACTAAAAGAGATTTTGCGAGAAATTCAAACAGCACCTTTTTCTTTCTCTTTGTTTTAGTGACCTGACCTGCTGCCTAATGTGAGAATACTTTTGAAATTGTTAGTTTCAGAACGTTATCATAATTGTTGGAATGAACCTTCCACAAGAGTGAAAGTCTGGGAAGGTTTGGGGATTTGGGGGTGGTTAATCAGAAATTACTGGAAAAGGGATGTTGTTTTTTACAACCACTGCTTTAATGTATCTAAATGCATTTTGTGCCTCAGTGGGCAATTAAGGTCCTGCAGGTCCTACAGCTTTTGAGATCCACATAAGAGGGGATAGGGAAAAGAGACTATTTGGCAATATCACAGAACAATAAGACTTATAAATGCTTTTGTTTCACCTTTTCAAGGTATTTATTTGTTAATTGAAGCATTTGACACATTTTCTGTTGATTATCTCTGAAGCATGCCTGAAAGACAGCAGTGGACTTGTAGTATTTACAAGCCAATCAAGCATACAAAAACATTAGCTACTGCTCTGCAAACACCACCTGCTTCTGCTACAGTGCTGCTACACCTCATTCTTTATGGTCTCCTACCTTCAGAAAAACAATGACCTGATCTCATTTCAGGTGGGCCCATTGATGCACTCTGACTTAAATGCAGCGGATTTTTTTAAAAAAAGAAAAAAAACGCAACAGTAAATACACTTTTTAAAAAAGTGTTTTTTCCCCATCTTTTTGAAATACACAAAAAAAGTTAGTTATTTTAACATTATAGTTATTTCATTGTTTTTACACATGTAAATATTCTTATTTAAACCCCCTTTTAAAAAACAAACATCTCATGTAAAATTAGGGCTACTTTTACATTGTATATCACACTTGGCTGAAAAATCCAAGACATGATAATAAAGCTGTACCAAAAATCATGTTTTCTATCACTGTTATTATAGTTATCATATTGAAAACTCAAGACACTCCCTAAGAACTCTACCAGGTTGTCAACAGACCAGACTCCTGAGGTAAGGATGCAAGCAATGACTTTTTCAAAGTCAGTGTTCTTCCTCTCTGGTATATTCTGACAGACTCTGGAGCAGGAGTCAGTACTGGCTTCCAAACTCCCACCTCCCTCCACTTGTTTGATAGAATTTATGTCAGTCCTGTTTAGTCACCAGAATGTGGAGCCAAGTCTGGAGTCAGCTAAAGTGGAAAACCACCACTTTCTACAGTTAGATTTACTTAGATGCAGTTAGAACCATAAGCTGTACACATGAAAAACATTATGCCATTAAACTAATTGAATCATAAAATTAAAGCCATGCACTTTATTGTACTGCATTACCTTGAGTCTAAGTAGCCTGGTGAACACAATCCCAACCTCAGAAAAATAAATAAATACAAATCTCTATCATAGCAAATGTAAAACGATATCACAGTGGTTGTACATAACCCTACACCACAATTCAGTCTCACACAACAGTTCAGAAATCATCCCTTCATCACGGTTTTCTTGTTCAGTTTGTGTTGAAACGGTTTTAGGGGGGTGTTGATTCCACTACTACATGATCATTGGAGGATGTCGTTTGTTTGTGTTCTATTGAGTGTGGTGAACTATAGAGGTGCTTCTGTTGTTGGGTCTATCCTCACTAATATAAACGTATGCTAAGTACCCAGATAGGAGTGTTTTTTGCTAATCCAGTCAATTTATCATCAATTAAAATGACCAACTTGATAATCTGCAAAAGTTTTTCACAGGGGTTTGCCACAAGGGTTCACTGAAAATCTTGGGTTGACACACAAACCAACAGACATACCTCAATTTCAGGAATTGGATTAGTACAGAGGTTAGTTAAAAACTGTGTCAATATCAGAGTTAAGAAATACAACACTGACATACTTTGATATGGTACCTCCATTCAAAATAGCCTAGAAACAGAGATGCTGCAGTGTAGTTGAGGAAAAAAGTTTACTGAAAGGCAAGATGTTCATAGTTTATATAATATATAGTAACATTTATCTTAAATATTATTCTTAAATGTTTTATTTTATAAAAATTAAGTATATCATTAGATTATGTACACTGGTACCAACTTATTCATTCTGCTGGAGTTCATTGTGCTCATAGTCCAGCCCCCTGCACTGACACATTGCATATTGCCTGCATCACAGACATGCACCTGCATCTTAAATTATTTATCTTGATCCAACTGCTCTACGCTTCTTAAATTGCCCTCAGGCGACAAATACAGTTTTTTGAATAGAACAGAATAGAATTTTGCTTTCAACACTGAAAAACCTGTCTATTGAGAATGATAATGCATCTACTACACTCACTTGTGGTACATCAAAATATGTTTTCATGATTCCCCCATGTCATTTTGTTTATTTTGTTATATTTAGTTAACACATCTCTTTACACATTAATATCACTGCTAAAAATACTTTGGTGTGAAATGGAGGTTGCACTTTAACAGTGAGATCTGAAGAAGTTTAACTAAAATCTAAAAGAAAAAGTAGCACATTTCAAATTTTAAAACAAATAAGAACAAAATAATCCCATTTCACTCATTTAACAGGCTCACATCCCAGTAATGCTCACGCATTTTGGAACAGAGCCGTCATCATATCAATGCTCCGATGAAAGAAATGTCAGTATTTTGTTCTCCTTGACTTAAAAATGTGAGATGTGTTACTCTTTTTTGTTTTTACACTTGGCATACACTGCTAATCCATTACTGCTATTAGGTAATCCTCACCACTAAAGTCCTCAATGCTGCAGAGTGGCAAAATCTTCTGGAATCTTACAGAACTTGCTGTGCTGTGTCTAATAATTTCCTCTTCTTTAAGAGACAATCTGGCAAGAAATGCCACGTTAGGGTTTTATCTTCTCACTCTGGCTGTTTTTTCGTCCTTTACACTTCAACTACTCCCACTAACTACTAGACCATGCCTTCGAGTGCAAGCTTTTTGAATGGGTGCACTGTTATCCCCATGTGTACATTTCACTGTGTCTCACCTTTCCATGCCGCCAGTATTTCTAAGGGGCACGTATAAATACTTAAGATGTGGTCAAATTACATGTGGCACTAAGTTATTTGAAGTTTATTGATGCCTTAATTTGCAAAATTGTCCACAAAGGTCCACTACAGAGATAAATACAGGCAGAAACAAAGATAGCATAATCTCGTCCAGTTGATACATCTTTCATGTGCCAGAATATATCCATTATTTTCATTTCAAATTACTGCCAGAAACAGTAAACATACATCACCCATCTCTGCAGTCTGCACAAAAGTGCATCACGTGACTCTCAGCTTGAGGAACTCATGTATATCCTTGCTTGTGTTCTGTTAAAATGTAAGTGGACCTGTTTATGATACATTGCTCTACAGCAGCCCTTTCAGTCCCTTTCATCCAGAAAAAACTATTACCAGAGACCACAGGCTATAATCAATTGCTGTCTTTACAACAAAAAATGACCAAAAAGAATCTGATCTTTTTTCTTTTTTTTTTTTTTATTCTTGGTGGAGCATATCCTACAGAACACACAAGAATAACATGGAGAATGAGTACATCTACTTTTTGGGATGTCATGACTGATGGGCTTGCTTTTAGAATAACAGTACTTGAAACAACTCATTACTCTGGTAAAACATAGGCACTTTTTCATTCATTTTCTTCTGTTACTAATTAAATAACTTGAAAAGTTACAGTGACAGTGATATGGATGGTATAATCCAGTCGCAGTTGAAAGAGTACTCAAATCCTTTATCAACACCATATTGTAAAATGAACTCATTACAAGTAAAGTTCCAGGCAGTAAATATAATATTAGCATAATGTACCTTGTAACAAAAGTAAAACAGATTTTGTTGTGTTGAGTTACTGGTGCATTATTAATTCAATGTTGTCTTGTTGCTGCTGGTTCAGACAGTGCCTCTTCATATAGTATAAAGCTATATAAACTATATCCACATGTTATGTCCTGATCATCTGTTTGTTTGAGAAATCCTGAATTGAAGAAAAGCCATCAGACAAATGTCACACACAAGTTCAGTGTCTTCCAATAAAATACAGTTGAAAAAATGACAATAGTCAAGTAAACTTTCTGCATTCCAGAACTCACTGTGGTTGTGTCATGTACTGTGTATAGAGGCACACTTTTTTCTGTTTCTGTAACATTGCACCTTTGCTAATAAAATAATAAATTCTGAACGTACTCTCTCCTTGCCACACTTCTTCTTCCTTTCAGTACTATTTTTGCACATATTGACGTTTTTGTATCAGCTTTTCCTCCAAGCACTTAATCAGGATTGGGTCCACTTTGGGGTCAAATTTGTTAGCAAACCAGTGACCGTAGTTAAGGAGCCAGCGAAGTTCAGCAGCTCCATAGATGCAAACACTGCGCATGTGTGTACCAGTGCAGGCTGGGTAAAGGATTCCTTCTAAATAATTCCATTTGACAAGTCTGGTCTTACTTCTCAGATCTGTAATGTCTGCTTCTGACCTGGGAATGTGTCCTGGTACCCCAGGCACTCTGACAAGAGTGGCCCAGAAGTGCTCATCTGGTGAGTATGTGTCAGCAGACCATGACAGAAAGTCCTTTGCCACCTGGCTGCTGCTAATGTGATTCACAAAATCCCATGACAGAACAAAATATGCACTCCCGATAAACATCTCGATACTGTGAGGAGGAACATCTTTGGCCACTGTGGTTTTGACTGGAATTCGATGGTACTCATACGGCACGCTTTTCAGCTCATGCTGGAAGCTGAAGCGCTGTTTCTTGAGTTCACTGGGACGGCTGGACTCCAGCATGTTACTGCCATTCAGCTGCTTCAGCTCTACAACCAGTTCATAGTTTGACTTGAGAGGAAAGTCCTGACCACACAGGTTGATGACGTAGTTCCACTTGACCTCTGACCTCAGTAAGTCAGAGAGACAGTTGAGGTCAGCATTAAGCCTGGAGATGTGGGCATATTCCACAGACTCTAATTTTGATGCAATGAACACATGTGGAATACACTGAGCCAGGTTTATAATGGCCTTTATGAATGCTGGAGATGACTTCTGATCATAGTGAATGCAGTAGATGTTATGAGGTGCATAGATGGCATGGAGAATGCGTTCCACCATAGGTGCATTCTTATGCACCACAAGGGTGTAAGCCAATGGGAAACTCCGTTCTTCATCCAACACTGGAATGGCATCGTAACCCCTTGTTTTTATAAATGTCTGACAGTCTGAGGTCAAACTTATGATGCTGTCGTCATCCATATTAACAATGACTTTCCGTTTTAGCACATGAGCTTTGCCAATCTCCACAGGGTCCAGCTCATAGATAGCAGTGCAGTTGACATCATACCTGTGGTTCTGGAATTTGGATAAGGTGACAGTAATTCCAAACGGCTCAATGTAGACGCCGTCCCTCACTGTCACTTTAATGTAGACCAGCTTGAGTAGACAGACCAACAGCACCGATAGAGAAAGCAGGAAGCACCTGTGTCTCACTCTATGAATGTAGTGGGCACATCTTATTTTCATTCTAAGAATAAAATGATAAAAAAAAAAGACATGAAGGTGACATTTGAATAATACAAAGCACAACAAAATAACTTGGAATGCAGTTTTAGTTATCTGTACATTTTTGTTAAGGTGCATGAACGTCTTAGAAGTCATGAAGCACAGTTTGCTATAAGATAGCTTAAGTAAATAATTTATATTGATAGTCTTGGGACACAGCACTACACATACAATATACAACATAAGTGCACCCCTGTGCAATATCACTCAACTGCAAAATTATTTAAAATTGTATCATCTATAAAACAATTGCATAATTTATAAATTGACCAGTACAGTATGTTGTCTTTTGAACAATCAAAAAAAGATACTTCAGAAAGACTGCAATAAAAACAGAGGCCCTGAAGAAGAAACTCAATGCAACAAAAGTGAAAACACCTGTGATGCCTGACATACAGGTTAGAAAACCTATGGTCACTGAAACTACACTGACTACACCTGTGATTTCAAATAAGCCTAACTGTGTGAAAACTGTTGATGCCCTGTGTAGACCAGAACTTTCTCAGTTTGTGATCAATGGGTTGTGTCTATCTGCGTGTCTGCATCATGGCTCCAAATGGAAAACAATCATTGGAAGAACTGAAAGATCTGACTGTGCCTTACATAAAGATGGAAAAGGGTATAAGGAAGATCAGTGACCAACGAAGAATCTGTTTTAACATTGTTGCAGCAGTAATCAGGAGGCATGCAATGAGACATAGTACCATTAATCAGCTGCAGTCTCTGTCCTCCTTAAATGGCACAAGAGTTGATGCACTATTTGTACAGTCTAGTTCTGAAAAACAAATGGACTAGGGTTTCAGGTTTGGTATGGGGGTTATCAGTAGAAATCAATAGTAATGACATAATGTCATCCTCTATAAATGAAAAAAAGAGGGTAAAAGGGTTAAAAAAAAAAATTTTTTTTAAAAAGAACTGAAAGATGAAACTTTGCTAAAGGACATGAAAAGAAGCCTAATGATTACTGTTTGGTCAGTCCAAAATAAGATACATCCAACATATTTGATATGAATCTGGCCATGACTGTCACAGTGAGTACACAGGCCTGACAGTGAAGCACAGAGGTGGGAGTGTGATGATATAAGGCTGCATGAGAGCAAAAGATGCTGGGGAGATGACATTTAAAGATGTCACCATGAATGCCTGTGGATATCGAGATGATTTCACAAAGATGGAAAGGGATACAAGAAGAGCGTTGGCCAACTAAAAATTAGTTGAAATACAGTTGCAGAAGTGTGACTCTCAGCCTGCAGAAGCTTGACATAAGAGGAAAACAATCCAGCATGACAACACTCCAAAGAGCCCAGCAGAACACCTTTGGGGTATTTTCAGGAAAAGGATAGAGCAACACAACCCTTACAGCAAAGAGTAGCTGAAAAAAAGCTGTTGTAGAATAAAGATTTCTCCAGAAATCTGTGCAACGTCCCATACTGATGAGGATTTAACCTGTCACCAAAAATACAGGTGGACATCAATGTGCTTCAAACAAAAAGATCTGAATCTCAGTAATCAACTACGGATTGACTTTTGTTGCATTAAGTTACGACTGATGGGCCTGCATTTTTAAAATCTGTTTAGAAGTCATGAAGTTCCTAATATAGTCTGTTTTCAGGTTACCTTGCTCTCTAAGGTTGTCTTTGAGGGGCTCTCACGCCATGAAAACTCCTCCCACAGTTACACGAGAACCTTAATATAATGAGGAGGGGGGGGGAAAGTCTTAATAATGAAACAGTTATAACTAGGAAAAGAGACAAAACAATTCTGTGATAACACGAAAGAGATTTAACAAATTCAGTTTAAGGACCCGCGCTCTTTGATGAGTTCGGGCTTTTCTGCAATTACACACAAGTTCCACTTTATCGTCTGGAAAACGTCCCATGTTGAAAAGGGAGCACACAGGACGCAGTGCGGTACAGCCAGTCTACCCTCAATCACTTGTCTATGGAACGGTAACGGTAAACTCACCAACAACGCTTTTCACGAACACAAGAAGACGAGGTGGTGAATATCTTACCATATGCGAAAAGAGCGCTTTCATGGAGCAGAGCGGCCATGAGTCCCGTCTGCTGTGTCAGGGGCTCCATCGTAGACTGGTGCGACTGTTCTCAGGAGGGTCAGGGGGGAGCGTCCCGGCAGCAGTCCGCCCACTGCCCCGCCACATCCTGCACATCCCCAGCACACAGCCTACATTCACCACCCAGTCCCGGATAAATAATACTCTTCAACACCGCCAACAAAGATCCAATAATGAATTACGCCAATGCAATGCCTCTCATATATTCAACAAACCTGCCATCAGTCCATCCATGTACAGCTTTGTGTGTGTGTAGCTGAAGCACACAGTGTACCAGGAGGGCCTCTGACAGGATTCCCACCCTGCAGCTGAAACATTTAATCACGCACAAAACCAGATACCTTTTGAATTTTTATTGCCTTTATTGTTTTGTTTTAATTCTGATTGCAATTACACTGGTCATTTAACAAACTATTTGACCGCGGTGAAATTAGTTTGAAGTTGGATATTGGATATTCGCGCTCCGCGTAGTCAGCGGCGTCTTGCTCACAGTTGATCCGATTTACAGACTCAGACTTCGGCTCGCTCCTCTCGGCTGCATCGCCACCCAACCAGTGACATTTCACTTAGGGACCGTCAACGAATTTCTGAACCAAGAACCCTTGAGAAATAAAAATTAATAAATTTTCTATTTTGTGACCTCGTGACTAAAAACCAGTGTGGATATATTCAACTGCACTGGACAGATGAGACACACCAATTTATTTTCAATTTTAGCCTTTGTAATATTTTTTATGAATTATTATATTCATAAATTATTCATATTCTTCAATAGATTCCAGGTCATGTGACCCACTGACTTCAAATCAGTGTCAAATTACTCAGCTAGTCTGGACAAACGAGGCACACCAATTAATTTTCAATTTGAGCCTTTTGCATATTTTTTATGAATTATTATATGAATAAATTATTAATATTCTTCAATAGCTTCCAGGTCATGTGACCCACTGACTTCAAATTATTGTCAAATTACTGCTGTGCGCCGCCACGGCGCTCTTCTCTCCGCTCCGTCGCAATAAAAACATAAAGGCGGGCCCCTGAAAGGACCTGAACAGCCGGCCGCCTGGGGCCTCACGGGACAGACCGAGTCGCTGGGAGGAACGGAGGCAGTCGGGCTGCCTGGAAATGCTCTTAGATTGATTTGATTTGTGATCTAACAAAGCGCAGCGGAGCGCGTCGCTGCTGCGCACAGCAGGTCGGAGTGAATCTGAGAGCATTTCCACGCAGCCCAACTGCGTCCGTTCCTCCCGGTGTCCCAGCATGCCCCGCACGGCCCCAGGCGGCCGCCTAGACAGGTCCCATCAGGGCCCGCCATTGTGTTTTTGTCCGACGGAGCGCAGCGGGGCGCGCTTTGGCGGCGCACAGCAGGTCGGAGTGAATCTGAGAGCATTTCCACGCAGCCCGACTGCTTCCGTGCCTCCCGGTGTCCCTGCATGCCCCGCACGGCCCCAGGCGGCCGGCTAGACAGGTCCCGTCAGGGCCCGACATTGTGTTATTGTCAGACGGAGCGCAGCGGAGCGCGCCGCTGAGGCGCACAGCAGGTTGGAGTGAATCTGAGAGCATTTCCACGCAGCCCGACTGCCTCCGTTCCTCCCAGCCTCCCTGCATGCCCCGCACGGCCCCAGGCGGTCGGCTAGACAGGTCCCGTCGGGCCTGCCATTGTGTTATTGTCCGACGGAGCCCGCCGCTTCGGCGCACAGCAGGTCGGACTGAATCTGAGAGCATTTCCACGCAGCCCGACTGCCTCCGTGCCTCCCAGCCTCCATGCCTCTCCCGTGAGGCCCCAAGCGGCCGGCAAGACCGGTCCCGTCAGGGCCCGCTGTTGTGTTATTGTCCGACGGAACGCAGCGGAGAGCGCCGTTGCTGCCATCAGCAGGTCGGA